CTTGCAGCCTCACTGGTACCGCTGTCATGAGCTTCTGACAACGTTGACCTAATCCCTATGTCATCGCGGATGTATAGAGCAACCCCACCACCTTTCCGACTACTTACTCTATCTGCTCGAATACAGATGTACCCAGGTATGAGTGGAGTTAAGTCTACACCCACTAACAACCATGTCTCAGTGATAGCAATCACATCAGGTTGTAGTCTTTCAGATAACTCTCCTAATTCGGCGAGTTTATTCCTAAGACTACAAGCGTTCGTATAGCACACCGAGACACCTACGTGTTCATCCGGCTTATGAAGAGAGGTCTCGGCAGCATCGGTTTCCGAGACCTCACCACCCGAAAACCCAATATCTTGAGGTCTTTTTCACCTTTCTCTAGTCTGGCCTTTAGTTCAGCCACGGCTTCTCTTCTTTTGATTCTATCTTCTAAAGGCCAATCAGGCCTTATTTTTAAGCTTTTATCGTTAATTTTGAACGCGTTGTTGAGGATGGTGCTTTTCTCTGTTTCATTCCCTAAAACTATCTTAAGTAGTCGTCGAGAAGTTTCCGTAGCATCAGGGTTTCGTTTTCCGATCCTGATGGCTTTTCTTACGTGAACTCCAATTGTTTTTTCGGGAAGTATTTCCCGGATTATGGAGCTAACCGCCTTCAGATCATCTGCATGTCGGGCAGCTGGATCTGTGTTCTTAGATTCCTCCAAATTCCAGATGATAACACTGTAACTGGAGTCCGTGGGTTTCTGAGTTTGGCTGGTATTAACAGCCATCGAGACCTTGTTGGTGAACTCGGTTGCTGTTTCTTTCCTTCGTTTATTTTGCTTCTTACCTGACGGCACCAACCAAGTGGAGTCAGTTTCTTCCACTTTGTTTTCGCCGCGATTAGAGGCCATTCGTGCACTAGACACGCTGCGCTTTGGGGTGGCCATTTCACAGGCTGGTGTTGCCATGCTGGCACTACTCGCCCTTTTAGATTTCCTTTGCCGTTTGCGCTTAGTCGCTACAGACATTTGAGCACTCTGTGCCTCTTTTGCCCCCTGAGCTACAGGTGGCGATACACCTTCGGTTTTAAAATTATGTCCTGAACCGCCATTTTTGGCTATGATTTCTGGTACAGGCTTCTCGACTACGTCTTTAGTCAATTTCTTGGACATCAGGAGTCCCACTGCCTCTTGGATGAGGACATCCAACGGGTTGCTGCAAAATTTGCACAGCCACGGAGATGACGGCATGCAACATCTCTTATAGGCTACTGGTGACAAACCAGTGCAAACCTTGTGAAACCATAGGCTGCAGTTGTCACACTGCATACCATCATCCACCGGAAAGTGGCAGTCCGGTCGTCCGCAATTGTTATTCGGACCCATAGCGCTAATTTGTTTCAACAACACAAATATATGTACGTGAAAACTGTGAGGTTTATACCAACCAAATACACAAATGTATATACGTGAAAAAAAGCGTAAATACCGAACAAAACACAGACTGTGAATAATATGAACAACACTTCAACTAAATAAATCAGTTAAAGTGAACTAAAAAGCTTCTGATGTGGTTTAAACAACAAAAGCAGAATTTACTTCACAACGTAAAAAATGCCACTGTCCTTTTTCAAAGCGCGCGCGGAGAAAGTGCTAAATTAAGACTTTTCGTTCTGAAGTAAGGCTAGTCCGTGCTTAATATGTCCTGTGAGGGCTGGGAAAACGCTGATAAGCAAACCCAGTAGGTTCTTATCTTCTCCTGAAAGTGCTTAGAAAAAGAACACGCTGCTGAATTAGTGCCAGTCATGCTGAAACCCAGCACTGAGTTCTAGTCTGCGTCATCAAAGAATCCATTTCAGAACAGACTCAGAATTTAACCACTATAGAATGTCAGAATTATTTCAGAATTAGTGGGATTTAATTCAGCATCATAGTAAGCTTGGGTATCAGTCATGTGACTGCACCAATGTGACCAAAATCGGTTTTGAGTAGTCTTTGGTCGACCTGTCTGTAGTAGATGATACGGCTTAACTCTGTCACAGAAGCCTACAATAATGCGGAAATAATGCCAATAAAATATTGACTAGCGCTCGTTTCTTAAGAAACGGCAAATTTGCCGAGTAAATGTTGGAAAAATACTCATTAGGAACCAAAGAGCAATCCACATTTTTTTCCTCAGTGCTCCGAACGCTTTCTTTATTGAAGAGAAAATAGTGAATGAAAATGTGCCTTATATTACTCTACGTAGAATGGCATACATAAGCCGGTCATAGCGATTTTCCTCTATACTCATCTAAGTTTCCATAGAGACTTTCTGGTAATAAGCTAACTAGTGAACTTTATTTCGTCAAGATCTAAAACTGAGTTATAAAGTATCTACCTACGTGATTTAGATACTAATCCTTCAAAACTTCCTTGGATGCGGTGTTTTTTTAAAATTTGGAGTCAGTAATCATTTCAAAGTTAGAACTATGGATTCATTTAAGCCCTATTCAAATTCAGATTATAAGGGTAGAAGGCTCTTGTTGCCTATGTTAATCCTCGTGATATATATCTCTGCAGAAATCTAGTTTCTCGTTGAAAGCTTTCACCGTTGGAGCTGTGACTACTGAATCAGGTAAAGAGTTCCAGTCCAATATCCACTATCGTTTTTACGAGCTAGTATAGACCATTTTGATTTCTTTGTGCTCACTTCTTGACTGTGAGTTAGAGGTTCCTGATTGTTGACCAGTCGTTGACCACTCTGTGGGAGAGTCTAAATTCCGCACGTATTTTGTTCGACCTTGGTTTGAGAACCTTCTTGTGGTGACCCCGTAAATGTATCCTAGAGGGAGAGAAAAGGTTTGAAAGGTAAATCCCTAGATCATCCTTTAACATACGGTATGCCAAAATTAAGTTGCCTCTCTTCCTTCGGTATGATAATGGGAAGAGATTTATGTGTTCCATCCTCTTATCATAAGGAAGGTGTGAGATACCACTAACTAATTTGGTTCCTAGTCTTTGTACTCTTTCCAGGATATGTGCCTCCTTTTTGAAGCATAGACTCACCGCTTGTATGTAGTATTCTATATTTTTTTAATTTTTTTAAATTTTTGATTTACAGCTTCATTCCACACCATATTTTCAGTACAAGTATGGAATTTTCAGCATGGATATCGGTAGCCCAAATTCAGGCCGACCATAGATATTGGGTGTGCGTCGGCAGAGGATCGAACCCCGGACCATGTGCATGGTCGGCGAGAGTCCTGACCACTGTGCCACCAATGCACATATGTTGCATAGAATATTTGGAACATACTCTTGCCTAATCGCTTGAAAGCTCTTCGAAGTGCCCATAGCATTCGGAAAGCCTTAGCTGTGGCTCCATTACATTTTGCCTTTGCTTTTAAGTCATAGCTTACAATAATCCCTAAGTTCTTTTGTCCCTTAACATCTGGCAGCTCTGTGTTTAGTAGGGAGTACGACGTGTCAGATCTATGACCTAGGTGCATTACCCCACTTTTCTTGGGATTAATTTCCAGACTGCAGAGGTTACCCAATTCAGCTAATTTATTCAGATCGTTTTGTAGTACCAACCTATCATCATTGTTATTTACAGTTTTCCGTATCTTAATATCATCCGTAAATAATAAGGAAGATGGGGTAAGAATTTTCGGCAGTTCATTTACGTATAATAGGAATAGCAGGGGACCAAGCACAGTTTCCCGAGGTACTCCACTTAGTACTGCTTTCCACCCTGATAGTCCACCAATAACCCTTACCTTCTGCCTCCTATCCATCAGGTAGTCGCTAAACCACTCACATAAGCGTTGGTTTAATCCAAAATGTTTAAGTTTACTAAGGAGACCTAAATGGGATGCCTTGTCGAATGCTTTACTAAGATCGATAAATACAACGTCCAGTAGTTATTTTTTTATCCCTGGCCTCGATCCAATCTCCTCTAGCTAACAGCAAGTTTTTCAGACAGGGTCGTATTGGTTGGAATCCATGCTGTTCCATCGCCAGTAAGGCATGTTTCCCCATATGAGCTAAGAGCTGATCCGTTATGACTGTTTCTAATATCTTCGCTACAATGCAGGTCAAAATTACAGGCCGGTAGTAAGATGCTAACTGCCTATTCCCCTTTTTGAAGATGGGGTTTATAATTGCATCCTTCCAGCCCCTAAGTAGCCTAGTCTGGGTCAGGGACATTTGGAAAGTCTCCGTAAGTGAAATGTATATTATATCCCCCAAGGAGATTGGCAGTCTAGGGTGAAGTCAGTCAGGTTCAGGTGATTCACCTGGCTTCAGCTTAGACAGTAGTTTGAGAACCACTTCATCCTATACCACAATTATGAGCATTTTAGTGGCTACAGAAGTGATCTCGCTACATCCATTGAAATTACTCTTGCAGTTTCACATAGTCATCCGTTTATTTTACAAGTTTTCCAGTCGTATATATATATATGGATGAAAGATGTGTTTATTAGTATGTTTTCTAAATGTCATGAAAGTATTATCGCTTACTGATGGCTCACAAGTATGTTTTTAGGGGGATATTGACGCTTATTTCTTTGCGTTTTGAGCAAAACATAGGGCTTCGAGCGTGAGTTTCAGAGTCTCAATAGTTGGTTGTATTTTGTTCAGGCGGGGTGGAGTTGCTAGTCTGATGCCCAGCCTTCCCTACTTCCTGGGTTTACTGTAGGCTTAGCAAGGCTTGGAAATGCGTCAGTCCCAAATGGAATCCTGGACCATATTTTTCGTTGGGGAGCATTAATTGGTTAATCCCTGATGTACAGGTAATAGCGTAGAAACAGGTTATAAGCGTGATATGTTATCAAAGAAGCTGGTATCAGCAGCTACAAATATGGCGATAAAAAAACACATCGACTAATCTCTGAGACGGTAATTAAAATGCGAGGCAGGATACATTAAACATATGACCAGAAGGCAAGATGGGCGAGTGTAATAACATGGTTGTAATGGAGAAATCAGGTTTAATATAGGTAGTGAAAGCTGTGTAAATTCTGCCAAATAGATGAAATCCGGTCAGGGTGCTGTACACCTAACTCTTATCCGCCTGGATCACCACTCTTTAACTTCGCCAGCAGGTAAGTGTTGGCAAACTCAGCATTCAGACCATTGTTAACATAACTAGAACTTTAACCAGAAAGTCTACACATCCACGCTTGGTTCCAAACACTGATAACTGGGGGCTATATCTATGATGACAAGAAATTAATGGGGAGATATAATTGATAAACCAAACCTCAAGACAAGATGAGATGTTATACTGACAAAGCTTTTATTTCCATTTGTTTTCATTTATTTTTTAACTATGTGTACTAGAATATATCCGAATTAGAAATAGACATGAACATACCTTAGAGTTAAATCGTTGAATTTATCCATTTCAAAGGAGTGAAGTGATTAGCGTTTCTAGATCTCATTCAGCCCAGTATTCAGTAAAGGTCTAATATACTCTGCAGCAGTTCTCTTTGTTTTCCTATAAAACTCCCAAAAGTAGGTAATTTGCAGAAGGCCAATGAATTTGTTTCATCAGACTGACTACGTGAGTTATGTAGAAAATTGTCAGACAGCACAATTATTTAATGCAAAAACTGTTCATTTGGAAAAATCAACACATGAACTACTGGGTTATTAAACATTGCTGCGTTATATAATTTCGTTGGTTTTCAACTAGACTCCTAGAGGCTATGTGATTATTTTGTCGCTCTAAAGGTCAAGAAACTCTTTTGACCATTCTCCTTTCTTGCTTAACTTCGAAGACAGCCATTCTGAACTTGCATTTGGTCAGTATTTTCGAAAAAACATCCTCAACAACTTTAATCGTATAATATAATAACAAGGACTGCTGTCACATCTTTAAAATTTTTGTTTCATTCCTTCACGTTCCCAGTGGAACATAGGGCTTCAAGCTAGAGGCTTGAAGTTTCTGTAGCAGAGTTTATTTTTACAGGATGGGGTTGCTGCTAGCCTCATGCCCAACCTTCCCTCTTTACCAGTCTTATTACTGGCTTAGCGAGATAAAGGAGTTCGGCGGCCGGGGATCGAACCCCGGACCATGTGCATAGTCGGCGAGCGTCCTAACCGCTGTGCCACCGACGTATGTCTTTAAAATAGTAACTTCCTAATATTATAAGCAGCTATTATTTGACGCTGTTACGTCTACCGATAGCTTACTCCAACAAAACTATCTGAATCAGAGTTAGACAGTCCAGGATGTGTTAGTTATTGATTACTGAATAGATTTATTTAGGACAACTTGTATCTTCTTCCCGGGAAGTTAAACAGACAGTTAGGACCGACAATTAAAGACTAAGTGATGTGCTTCAAAGTTCATCGAAAGTTTTGTGTAGGTACGCTTATCTTATTTCAGGTTCATCCTGTATGTATTATCCCACTTCTTCAGTCTTGTTACCATTCTTCTTTTGACACACGGCCCCTATACATGTCTTATTTATTCTTATTTGGAAATTTCTATCAATCCTTTTACTTTATTGGTTCTCATCAGCTGCCTATAACCTATAATCTTTACTAAAATAAGTCAGTGTACACTTTTAACATACTTCTGTCTATTAGCAGGAGCATCATAGTGAAATGAAACATCAGGACGATGAGGCATCTGAAATATTACAGTGTATATATGCATAATCTTGTTGGAGAGGATTTTCTTGAAAAATTAGTTGACGAATTTGTTGTTAGAGTGGTAACAAAAAATTAGCAACAGATATGTAATTAGATAAGAGAAAATCCAAATTTGATGTTCAAAAGGTTAGGCGAAAAAATGAGGATGTAATTCGGTGAGTAGAACTCAGAAGGTTAAAGAAAAATCGTCTCTTATAAAAGTCAAAAGAAAAAAAGGGGTCAGGATGAAAAGAAAAGGTAATGGAATGCAAAAACAAAAAGTTACTAAGGGATAAGTAACCAGAGTAACTGATGTCCAACAACAGATAGGTCATATAGATCAAGTTTCAGCCGTTTTATTGTTATGGCCACAGCAAACCTAAGAAAAATTGAGCCATTTCTTCTGTTAATTATTTTGAATGATCCCAACGAGTCTACTTAGTGTCCTGTGTCTATCAGCTGTTTTATGATTGAAGAGCTTAAACTGTTTGGCGCCTTTAACCGGATCTTGATCTTCTCTTGTCTAACTACGTAACTGTTACTAATTGTTTGTTACCACTCTAACAACAAATTTGTCAGTTAATTTTTCGGGAAGATCATCTCCAATAAGATATATATACTGTAATATTTCAGATACCTTATCGTTCTGATTTTTTATTTCACTATGACATTCCTGTTGATAGACAGCAGTATGACCACGGATTGATGTCATTTAGAGAACCATTGAAAGCTAGGGAGTACTGGACGGCTGTTTCATCTTAGTTTCGGGAATCATCGACAGTACGCACCCTCCGACACGGTTCAAACCCAGGACCTTCCGGTTACAAGACAAACTCGCATACCATTCAGCCACTGGGACCTCATATCTTGACTGTTGATATTAGAAAGTTGAAGGCAATCGTCAGGAAGCCTCGCACCTAGGTATCGCTCTAGTTGGCACTCGTCGGCATGGCGTATCTGCAACGTTTAAGGAACTCATCTCCCTTCTGAGATTTGAACTCGCGTCACCCAGTGCTTCAGTCAGAGACGTTACCACTGAGCTCTTCGGGCTCCCTCCCAATGGCTGAATGGTATGCGAGTTTGCCTTGTAACCGGAAGGTCCTGGTTTCAAACCCCAGTGGATGCGTACCGCCGATGATTCCCAAACTGAGATGAAACAGTTGTTCAGTACCCCCTGTTTTTCAATGGTTATCTGACAGACAGAAGTATGTTAAAAGTGTACACTGACTTATTTTATTAAAGATTATGGGTTATAGTCAGCTGATGAGAAAGCCAAAGAAATGGGATGGATCCATGTTATTCTGAACCAAGGTTCGTTCTTTCTCTGTTCAAGTTTATAAAAAAGGAATTCATATATGGAACCCTTTTACCGTTGTATTCGACTAGATTTTGTAGACAGATATAAGATTTAGAAACTGGAACCGTTATATTTCTTTTGAAGCGGACTCGTTTTTCTCTCTCTTACAGAAGTTTCTTTATTATTACTTCTTATTTGTGGAGTGGACAATAAGTTCTACTTGTCTTTTAGAGGTTTTGATGAATTAAAAATGGCGGTAATGAATAGTTTTATTTCATTCATCGTATTCTCTTTTTTCGTTTTTGTTTTTACTTTCTTTTGTGTGCACACATTCAATGCAGAAATTCTATCCAAAGGAAAAACATTGTTTTCATTTGAATCATGTCAAGAACGCTTACTTTATCCAGAAGCAATACCACACCATCGTCTTGGTATAACTTTAACACCAATTAGTAATCATGGATTAGCTGGACCAGCAACATACGACCCTCAAGTAACTTTAAGGTTTCGATTTCAGTGGATTTCTTTCTTTCTTTCTTTATCTTCCCCACTTTTCGTGATAACTATAGTTTACAGGAATCAATGATTTCAGCAAAAAGCCTATGAGTTTACGTGGATATACTTTAGGCGCTAGAACAGCACCAAGACTGACTTCTCAATTACAGGTAAGTAAATGTGAATTACAAGGTTCATATCTTTTGATATTTTGATTAAAAAAAAATAATTTTCGAAAAAAGTTTGATCTTTCTTGACAGTTTTGTACAATACAATATATAAATCTTTTAGTTAATAATACAGATTTTCGTCCTGTAGTGATTACTTGTGTAAACTAGTGGCCACGCATATCTCACTGACTGACTGACTGACTGATTGGTTTCAACATGGAACAACGTTGCACTGATATGCAGCAGTTCGAGTCATCACACTTCACTCAGCCCACAAAGTGAGAGAAGAAAGTAAAAAGAAATGCAAAATAGAAACAGTAAACAGGGATATGAGACAAAAAGAATAGTAGTATCGAAGAACAATAGAATTTTATTGGGTATTATAAGTCACAAGGAGTGGATGCATCTACACCACTGAGAACGAGTTTGAGCCATATCACCAATTGTCTCCAGCCATTGGTGTTAACCGTCCCGAGGACCCCAACCAGGAAGTCTACACCTTCCTACGTGACTGGCTTAAACTAATTGTCGTGGATTTCATTGACTGATGAAGCCATATTTTAGTTTGACCACAGCTAGCTCTTCTCCAAGATGACCCTGTGTCAACTGACATTGCCCATCATTGAGGAAAGCAATCGATGGCTAGTCATGTGTAACACATGTCCTAACCATCTCAGTCGGTGTAACTTCACACCCTTGTTAATTGATTTCCCCTCTATATCTCGCACTCGCGCCTAACCTCAATATTACTCACCTTATTATACCACTTCAAACAGGAGATAGAACTCAGGCACCTATGATCAAAGACAGATAGCCTTTTCATGTCTTCTACTCTCAGGCCACAAATATATAAATCGTAGTGAAAGAAAGCTGTTATAATAGGCTTAAAACATGTACTGTTGAAGCAGTTAAGTTTTGAAAATATTTGATTAGACAATCCCTGATATTATACGAAATTTGCAGTCACTCAAATTAGTTATTTTGTGATGAGAGCTGCCTGTTAGCCAAAATTAGTAGAGAGCAATTTACGTCAAAGTTTACGTCCCAAACCTTGGTCATGAAGAAAAGCAAGAACAAAGACTAACTCAACAACCAATTATAGCAGACTTAGCGTGGGAGGATACGATTAGCACATATATCAGCAGACTGTCTAAGAAACGGCAACAAAGAGATGACAGTATAACCTTCAGGAGGAAAACAACCATTCAGAAAACGTTACCTCTCTGCTAACAATAATGAATAATAATGTACATAGAAATCTATAAATATCTGTTGATTTTCGCTATAAACAATCTGTTGCCTGGCTTTGTCTTCTGTCGTTACAATTTAACCACTGATATTGACTCATTTTTTCAAGTATAGGCAATATATATATATTTCTCTAATAAAGTTGTTGCTCTCACCAGCACAGACCAGTCTTTTCTTTTGAATTTTCTGAGATCTTGGGTAGCAGAAGTTACCCTTCAGTCCAGTTGCCGATTACATTTCAGTATCGAACCCAAACCATATTGTTATTATTATCATCATCAACGCAGATATGACAGATTTGTTAAATCCCACGACTAGGATTTAACCAGACAACCACATGACTAAAGTGATCCACCTCTCTGACTAGAAAACTTTCACGATAACACTATTTATCAACAAGGGACCACTTCACAGTCAATAATTCACCTTGAGATAAAATAAATCAATTGATATTTAAAAAGTTGACCGATCATTTCACTTTATCTCCTTTCAAGAATACTAATGCTCCAGATCCTGGGGCTTATCAAAACCATATCAACAACACATTAGCAGTGAAACCGAATAAAAGGCCATTTAATCGTTGCGCACCAAGAAGTAATATGTCACCAAATGTCACATCTACTGTCGGGTAAGTGAAGTGTTATTGTCCTTCTGTGTGAGCTAATATACATTTGATGAAACAATAAAAAGTGTAGTTTATAAAATCACCAGTGTGTGGTTGGTCAGAAAGTCAGTGAAAGTCAGCCATAGACATATGGCCAACAGATAAATTAGTGAAATCAGTCAATGACGTTGTTAATTTATGCACAACTGACACTTAGTTTAATACCATTTTTGTACTTTCATATTCTCGAAGTCCTATAGTTGAATTGAAAAGTTTTCATTAACTTGCAAGACAATATCTTCAGAAATAACTTCAGCATGTGTGCAGTAGAACTGGTTGACTGGGAAGAGATTTTTGAAATACCGGCATTCCAGTCTTGAATACAGTTGCTTACTACAACGCAAATATTCACTACGGCACAAATGTGTCCATTCCTCCTCCTCCTCCTCCTCCTCACCATCATCATCATCGTCATCAAAATTCTGTACCTTTCTGCGGATTCCAACTTGAATATTGTTCACATTATATAAACAGTCAGACTTTAACAACATAAAAGCTGCCAATACTGATGAGTGGGTATCTGGGTTACCGGACTTCATATCTGCAAAAAAACATTTCCAAACGAATGACTTTATTCGATTAACCAGTAGGTTAAGCATACTGTTTCTTAGAAAACATCCTAGTTACATGTGTCACAGTTAACGCATGAAGAGGTTGTAGGTGAAATCAATCTTGACGCCGCTATCCACTATCACAATGACAGGGTGAATATAATCATCGTGGCTGGGTTGTATATAATCAAAAGAATTCGTGGATGTTTATGCTAAATCCATCACGTTTGCCATGGCGATACAAAATATCAATCAGTCTTTTCTAGCCTTATTCGCTTTACTATATTTATCGAATTAGTGTGATATACGTAATTTCATTTCAGTGGTTTCATTGATAGTTCCATTACTTTTCAAGTATTGGTTTTGTCGGGATTTGTGTTTGATTGCATACAGGATTTCATCATGAGCTGACATCAGTTATAGAACCACAGGAAAACCTAAGAGTAGTGCCAGACAGTTGTTTCGTCCTAGTTTGGGACTCTTCAATAGTACACACCCACCGGGATTCGAACCCAGGACCTTCTGGTTACAAGGCGAGCTCGTAGACCATTGAGCCACTGGGACCCGATCCAATAGTCCTTGAATTCTAACTTCTTCCAATGCATGACATAGCGCGACCATTTCGCAATGTCTTCTTCGACGAGTTACTGCCTCATCTTCAACCTGCTGTACACTACTGGTCACGGCTTCCCACTAGAACCCCAGGTTAACTATCTGATGAAATCCTTCATGCAATCAAACACAAATCCCTACAAAACCAATACTTGAAAATTAATCTGTTGCTCACTAGTGACTGACCCTATTCAGGCAGTTAACCTGGGGTTCTAGTGGGAAGCCGTGACCAGTAGTGTACAGCAGGTTGAAGATGAGGCAGTAACTCGTCGAAGAAGACATTGCGAAATGGTCGCGCTATGTCATGCATTGGAAGAAGTTAGAATTCAAGGACTATTGGATCGGGTCCCAGTGGCTCAATGGTCTACGAGCTCGCCTTGTAACCAGAAGGTCCTGGTTTCGAATCCCGGTGGGTGCGTACTGCTGAAGAGTTCCATTACTGTTTCGAATTAATTATATGCTGTATAAAGTGATTTGGGTGAATTTAGCTTTATGCTGGTGTAACTGGTTTCTGCGCTTACTACACACCATGCACACAGTGTGATGTTATGTTGACAAATGAGTGAGAGGGTGAAAAGTTTCTCTCTTATTTTCTGAGTGATCTGGCTAACGTCCACTACAAAAACAGGTCAGTCAACCTCACCGAGACAACAGAAGCTCGTGATATAACGACAACTCGGTGACTCTTATACACGCTTAAATAATTTAGTATTTATCATCTGAGTATCAAGAATACGGTGTTTGGCAAAAAGAGACATTTTGTAGGGAATCTATTATCAAACTTTAACATCATATATGATTGTGATAATAAAATGCCATGACCCATAGTGAAATTTATACATTAGATTTGAACACTACTGCTGCTAATAATAGTAGTAATGTGATTTGCGAACAAATATTTATGAAGATAATCGCAGTTAAACACCAAGCGATAAAACCACGTTATGTATAGTCCATGGAATATACAAATCTTTGATGACAGCTTAAGATTAATATGATTAGACGACAAATAAAACACCACATTAGCAGGTGAAAAGTTGGACAGAATGAAGTTTAACTATGAAAAATATTTTTTATTCCTCTACGTTTCCAGTGGAACATAGGGATTCAAGCTAGAGGCCTGAAGTTTATGTAGCAGTGGTGTTTATTTTTTACGGGCCTCATGCCCAAACTTCCCTCTTTACCAGTCTAATTACTGAGTTAGTGAGGTAAAGGAATGCGTCGGCTGGGGGTCGATCACCGGACCAGATTGGTGGTTGACGAGCATTCTACTGCTGTGCCACAGACGCACACTTAAACATTATCACGGTGAAAAATATACATGGAATTAAACTAATAAGGGGGACAGATGAAACTTTTTTCCGATTTGGTTGAGTGCCAGGAGTCAACCCAGTGTTCTGGAATAGAGCTTCTCATGAGCTTTTTGATTTCTTATAAATCCATACTGGAATGTGCTCTTCTATTCGTGTGGAAAGCACTAACCGTCTGTGACCACAGTGTCCTGCTAAACACGAGCGGATGAACCGTGGATTTTGGTACATAGATCTTTACCGTTCATCACCGTTTGTTTTCCCGAAATCACTAATTCCAGCAATCAGTTTTTTTGATGCATTAACACAGTAGAGCAGTGTATTAAGCCTACTCTTCGAACGAGTGATGAACTGAACAGCTGACGGATAAAACCCATCAGTGTACAACTGAATGATCCAGATGTTTACCTCACAGACAATACAGATTCCTTTAAGAATTCAGATTTACTTTGCTGATGAGGATTCGCAATCACAAAATTTATCGTGAAGATTAGGATAACTTATGACTTCTTTCTGATTGACTTCTGAAGTTAAATTCACGAAGGATATCCATCTACGTATTCACAGTGCCTATTTCTGCGATTTTCCACTGCCTTGTTTGTCTTAAAACTGAAATATTTATGCATATCTTACTTATATAGGGTTGGAACATACGATATAACAAGTGAAATCGGTCGACGTGTACAATGGCAAAGAGATACAATGTTACATCCTGTCAATCTGCCTACAATTGAACAAAAGAGTACAATACCCGTTAATACAGATAAAGTTAGTTATCAGTTCTATTTTAAAAGAAATTAAAATTGTTGAGTCTTTCACTGTTTATATGTAATCAGCTAATTGTATTATTATATTTCCTTCTTATGTTCTTATTAAACACTTTGGTATTATTGTAGATAATCTTATAATATAGCGAAAATATTCATCCAGACATTTAGAAAGGAAAAAAATCTGAGCAAAGAATATCCTTTTCGATAATTTACCCTTTCAGCTCCACAAATAGATATATATTTATATACACAGAATACTGTAACGACAGAAGACAAAGGTCAGGCAATAGATCGTTTATTGAGGAAATCAACAGATATTTATAGATTTTTATGTATGTTGTCATTCGTTATTTTAGCAGAGAAGCAACGTCTTCTGATTGGTTTTTCTTGTTGGGGGGTTATTCTTTACTGCTTGTGACCGTTTCTTAGAAAGTTAAGTTATATATCTGCGAATCGTATTTGCACACGCTAAGTCTGCTGTGATTGGTTGTTGAGTTCGTCAAGCTTAGGCTTTGTCACTGTTTTATCTCGTGACCCCGATTTGGGTCATAAACACAGACGTAAACTGGTGTTCACAATTTTGGCTTGCAGACAACTCCCACCACAGTACTATTCTAGAATAATTATCATTAACAATATTGGTGTTTTTTGTCTAAGTATTATCGATTTCGTAAGATTACAATGGAATTACCACAGTTCAAGAAAGATGCATAAATTAAAATAATAAGCATTAAAATGTAATAGTAAATAGAATATCAAATAAAATTAAGGAAATTTCTACAGCAAATTAAGAATTACTATAACCTTGATGGCCAAAGTAAGGACAGTGTCTGAACCAACTCCTTCTGGATGCATAAGTTAGCTTTCTTAATGTGGATCCCAACAACCTTAGCAGTGTGTAGTAGACGAATTGTTAAGAAGGTAAAGTTAAGATTAGTTGGTATACGTTAGATGACTTTGAAAGCCGCCTCGTTAGCATCAATTTTGTGTTCAGTATCAACGAGATGAGATGATATGGAGATGTGAATGAAATTTGTTTGTCCCTTACTTAAACACCATTCATGACGGTGTTCGGAAATCCGATGATAAACACGCCTAATTGTATGGCTTATGTAACTGGCTCACTCCAAAGGAGCAGTCAAATTAGTAGATGCACATGGAAGAGGTGAAATTAGATAGCCTGTCTTCAACTCCCAAACGCAAAATAGGGGTGATTTCGAAGACACAGCATACTTCAGCAGCACTGAATGCCCTTTTTACCGCTGTTTTCCTTAGGCGTTGTGTTAATATCTCACTGATGTTATCGCTGAGGAACTGAAGTTGCAAGAAGAAGGCCTTTTTCGGAACTGTTAGTACTCTGGTCTGCCTTGACTCTTGATTCGTATTCTGATGGATGAATGTTTGGGTAACGATTCTCACTCAGCAACTATTTAATAATATTAACCTTTTCATTAATACATTCATCAGAGCAGATTGCTCTTGCTCTGTAGTGGACCAAGCACTTTATCAGATTGCGTTTGTATTTCAAGGGCACGAAGCTGAAGAAATGAGTATGCTGACAGTCAGTTGATGCAGATTTTCTATATACACTTCTTCTTATTGCTCCATCCTCTTTTCTAGTCATAAGGACGTCTAGGAATGAAATACAAGATGGAGTCTGTTTCTTTCTCGATAGTAAAATTTATTGCGGGATGCATATTGTTAATTTTGTCAGGGATATTCTTTGCTTCATCCTCGTTTTTCATAATCAGAAATGCATTATCCATTTATCGATAGTAGACTTCTATTTCATCAATTGCATCTTTCAAAGTTCCATTCTCTAGTTTCGCGTCTTTCTTGAACTGTGGTAATTCCATTGTGATGTTAACAAATCGATAGTATTTAAAAACATTAACATTGTTAATGACGATTATTCTGGAATATTCTGCGTATCTAAACATATATATATTTATGATTGAAGGGCCAGAAAAGAATATTCATTGTTCAGTAATCACCTCCTTATTTATTTTATTTCTTTACGTTCCCTCAGTGGAACATAGGGCTTCAAGCTAGAGGTTTAAAGTTTCAGTAGCAGAGGTGTTTGTTTATTTTTACTGGTTGGGGTTGCTGCTGGCCTCATATGCCCAACTTTTCTTCTTCACCAGTCTAATTACTGGCTTAGCGAGGTAAAGGAGTGCATTTGTGGCCAGCGAACGAATCCCGTTGGCAAGCATTCTACTGCTGTGCCACCGACTCACACACCGACTCACCAACTAGTCAGTGTTACTATTGACTTCACTTTATATTTTCACCTTTTCTTTACAGCTTTCCACTACTGCAGAGTGTAAACGTTATCAGAGGAAACTGGCATATTTACAACTTTATTTTAAATAGACAATGAATGAATGAATGAATATGTATGAATTGAAGTGTACTGCTAATAAATTATGTTTTTAACAGAAACAGTTTTATTATTATTGTTATCATCATCATCATCAGTTTCTTTCGGTATGACAGAATGCAGTTTATTAGGTAAAAAACTGTTACATTTTTGGATGTTACCCCCAGTGAATCTGTTTAACCCTAAGTATTGACAGAAATGTGTTGATCAGTCGGTCAGTATTTTAGGCATAGTCATTCAGATTAGAATAAGAATGCTGGATAGAAAGGGATTAAGGAGTCTTGTATACTAAGACGAATTATCTTGTGAGACTACTGTGAGTATTCTATGATTTGCGAATAATTTATGCAAGCAACTCATATTATTATCATCATTTCTTTGACTAGTTGAATAAAAATAATAATTGTCCATAAAACCTCGCCTAGTTCACTAGCTTGCTAGTTTTCTAGGCAGTCCCAAGTTCGGGTAAAGAGGGAGGTTTCGGTGTGCGGCAGGCAACCTTACACCACAAAAGCTATCAAACTGCTATAGAGACACCCAATGCACAAAATTATGTTAAAAATACAAAACCTTCAAATAACAATCTTATAGGATTTTCATCATGAGCTGACATTAGTTAGAGAACCATTGGAAAACCTGGGAGTACTGGACAGCTGTTTCGTCCTAGTTTGGGACTCTTCAACAGTATGCACCCACCGGGGTTCGAACCGAGGACCCTCTGGTTAGAAGGCCAGCTCGTATACCATTAAGCCACTGGGACCCTATCGAATGGTCCTTGAATTCTAACTTCTGCCAATTCACGACATAGTGCGACCCCTAGCCAATGTCTTTGGCAAGTATTTGTCCTCACACCCGACCTGCTGCACCCTACTTGTCACGACTTCCCACTAGAACCCCTATTCAGGCAGTTAACCAGGGGTTCTAGTGGGTGGGTGCGGCAGGTCGGGTGTGAGGACAAATACTTGCCGAAGACATTGGCTAGGGGTCGCGCTATGTCGTGAATTGGCAGAAGTTAGAATTCAAGGACCATTCGATAGGGTCCCAGTGGCTTAATGGTATACGAGCTGGCCTTCTAACCTGAAGGTCCTCGGTTCGAACCCCGGTGGGTGCATACTGTTGAAGAGTCCCAAACTAGGACGAAACAGCTGTCCAGTACTCCCAGGTTTTCCAATGGTTCTCTAACTAATGTCAGCTCATGATGAAAATCCTGTAACCAATCAAATCCCTACAAACCAACACTTGAATAACAATCTTATACTTTGCTAGAATCGGAGAGGCTGGTCAAAACCAGCCTTCAGGAAGCCAGTCAGTCAGCCAGTATGCCTTCTTTCGAAAAAAATAAGGATAATAAATGGGGAGGTGAGATGTTTATTCAGTGTACAAGGCTGAGAAGGCTGTACAAGTAGTCGAAGAAAGGAGAAGATATGATATCGAAGTAATCGGAATCTGTGAAAGCAAAAGGAATAGGTGTGGACTATTGAAATTGTCAGCTGCAGAGTCAATAATCTACTGCAGTCACCACCTCCACACGACAACCACGAGAACACTGAGGCAGTGAGTGGCTATCATGATATCACCAATAGCAACCAAAGCTCTTATGCAGTGGAAAACCGATCTGCTATTACAGGTTTATGAAAGTAAAGTTTAACCTTAATGGAAATAAGGTCACATTTACCAAATGCTACGCACCTACAAACAACGCAGAACAAGAGAAGAAGTAAGATTTTATAGACAAGTGCAAACAGTAATGAGAAACATCCTAAATGGTGACATCAAAATCCGTATGGACGATATGAATTCCAGCAGAACTGGGATCAGATAATATTTGGAAGAGAACTCATCATGAGTCGAGAGATCCTCAATGGAGAACTCTTCTCAGACTTCTACGCCTTCAATGGTCTGGTCTTCGGAGGCAGCGTGTACAAGCACGAATATATACACAAGGTAGAATGGATTTCTCCTGACGGACAAACTACAAACCACATAGACTTCGGAGACGATATATGTCTAATGTCACACAAACTCGAAAACTTGCAGGAAGGCGAAAACCAACAAACTAGAAGAAGACTTTAACAATTAAGACAGGAATCCACGTGAACGTAGAGAAGACAACGAAAAGACCAGCACAAATCATCAGCAACAGGAGAGATTTGGGAGAAGGTACTTCCTTCACTTATCTGGCTAGGAAGCACGGTTTCAACCACAGGCAGTCGGGACGGATGAAGATGTCAAAACCAGCCAGAATTGGAAAGGCAAGGTATACCTTCATCACTTTGAAATCTGCGTGGAAATCTCCATTTAGCATGAAGAACTAAATTCGAATTTTCAACACCAATATCAAGTCAACCAGTTCTTGTGTGTAGGTAAAAAATTTGTCGGGTACGTCACAAACAGAGTTTCAAACAGGCTGAAGGATTTCTTCAACATATGCCTTCACTTCATGCCTGCAGAAGGAATCAATAACGAAAAACTCTGTCTAGGAACAAACCAACCAAGAGCCGATTGCTTAACAAATATGTAGGAGAAAATGGAGATGTATTTATCGGGTGTACGTTGAGGAGGTCTTCGAATGACATTGCGCGTCAGACCATTCCTCAAGTAGAATGCCAATGGGAAGCGATAAGTGGGTCGTCAGTGTTAGGGTGACATGG